GTTTCCCCTCATATCACACACAATCTTATTTCTGTCCGCCAACTCACTCGTGATAACAACTGCACTGTTGAATTTGATGCTCATGGTTTTTCTGTGAAGGATCGTCAGACGGGGACCGTGATGCATCGGTCCAATAATGTGGGCCCCCTCTATCCTGTCAGCGACCCAGCACCTGCCCAAGCTCATGTTTCGTCTGTAGATCATCAAACCTGGCATCGTCGTCTCGGCCACCCAAGTCTTGCAGTTCTTCGTGGAGTCCATCACAATTTTCCTTTAATTACAAATTATCAACACACTCTTTGTCATGCGTGTCAGTTGGGAAAGCATGTGCGCCTCCCATTTTACTCTTCTAGTCGTATTTCTTATTTTCCGTTTCAACTTTTGCATACAGACTTATGGCAATCACCTGTGCCAAGCATTACTGGTTTTAAATTCTATATGTTGTTATTAGATGACTTTTCTCATTACTTGTGGGTGTTTCCTTTAAGACATAAAAGTGATGCCTTTACTCACTTAAATTCTTTTGTGGCATATGTGAAAAATCATTTTAACACAACAATTAAAGCTGTTCAATGTGACAACGGGACTGAATATCGAAACTCACCTCTTAAAAATATTTTTAACTCCTTAGGAGTTCTTTTCCGTTTTTCTTGCCCTCACACCAGTCAACAAAACGGTCGAGCTGAACGCACCATTCGCACTATCAATAACACCGTTCGCACCCTCCTCTTCCAAGCCCAACTCCCACCTGAATTCTGGGTAGAAGCCCTCTATATGGCTGCCCATCTCTTCAACATACTCCCCACCACCACCTTAAACAATCACACTCCACACTCCGTCCTCTACACCTCACCTCCCCATTACTCCCACCTTCGCGTTTTTGGCCGTCTCTGTTACCCCAACGTCTCCGCCACTGCCCCACACAAACTCGCACCACGCTTTGCCCGCTGCATCTTTCTTGGCTACCCATCGAACCAACGCGGCTATAGATGCCTTGATCTTCAAACGAATAAAATCATCGTCTCCCGACACGTCGTTTTCGACGAGCACACCTTCCCATATAATCATCCCCTCACTCCCCCCGACCTTCAGTTTTTGGACTACACTGACGACGAACCCCACCCCCTA